CTTTTCTAGTTTGGACGCGGGAGAGATCTAGGGGACATTATTAGTCCCAGAATCGGTAAAGAGGCTTTGAAAGACAAGGGAAAAATTAGAACACGTCCGGAAAATTATGTTGTCTAAATATTTTTGAGATAAATACCAAGCATTCATTTAATTCCATGCGCATTTACAGCCACGAAGTCATCTATCTTTACGGGAATCGCGCCAAATCTTGTTTATCAGTTCATCATACATGTTGGTGCAAGTGGCAGGTATTATTATTATTATTATTAATTTTAAATTCAAAGGGAACGGAAGTTTAAGATTTATTAATATAAAATTTTAAAAACATGATCACAATTTCTTACTTGAGGTCCAATATGTGGAAGTAGCATGTACTTTCCACATATACAATTACTCTGTTGTTGCAGTAATATCTCTTTTGTTCACGTTCGTGACTATAAATATTTATGAAACCTTAATCTTTACCATTCTGTTTTCATATCGCGTGATGAGTTTTAATTTCATATAGTGTGCATTATATACTAAAAAAAGCTGCTGTACAATGTCGGCCATTGCCTTCAGATTACATTGAAAGAGCATCTACTATATCAATTTTGTTAAAGTAGGGAGGTCGGTGAACTTAAATCGTAGAAGAAAAAAGGTCGTATCATATATAAAAGAATCCTTTTTCATTGCAGAAGTAGAAATGCTTGAGAGATCTTATGCATATCAATTTCTTTAACTTTTCTTCAAAAATTTAAATGTCATATTTACAAAAATAGCATTCATTTGATCATTCACATCTATTCTGACAAAGATAAAAACTGTTTAACAAATGATTACTGTTTCGTTTAATGTAAAAGTTTCACACTTAGCAAAGTTATTTCCGTCATGCTAAAACATGCTCAGTTTCAGTAATATTTGAATATATTGAATGACAACCTGAGCTACGACAATAGTTGTTTACTTCTGGGCAAACATGTATAATAACTAAACAGTATTCAATCACTAATCTAAGAAAAACAAGTTACTTGATGACGTAACTTCAGATTGTAGATTGCAAGCTTGGGAAAACATAGAGGATGCGTTTTGGATTGGATTGGATTAGATTATTTAATTATGGCAAAGCACACGAGGGCTATCTGCCTAAAGGGAGGGATGCCTTCGTGGAGGACTTTCTAAGGGAAACTGGCTCGTATACACGTTACACATGGGGAAAACCACGAAAATGCCCATGCAGCCAGCCCGTTCGCGGGATTCGAACCTCAGACCGAACTACCAGTGTTCAGCGACTTTACCGCTCGGTCGCTGGTGAGCCCAGGATGCGTTTTGAATAAGGCAGTTAAATTTGAACTAATAGCGTTCTTTTCGAATGGGCAGAATGAGCTACGTTTATTTAAAATCAAAAGTTGGAAGGCCTTTCTTGTAAGAGACGCTTCTACGTATCTACGTAGTTTGAGCATTTGCTTTCAACAAGAAAAAAAATCGATTGATTACACGCTATGTTGAATCCGTAATAGGTTCAACCTGCTGTACCATCATTTTAAAGAACGTATTATTATAGTTTCAATGATGGAAGGGTTAATTGCCATCTTCGTATTTCTCAAACAGAAGTGAAACAGCACTTTCAGTTCTTTCTTGCAATTATATATTTTAAGCGGTTTAGATTTGATTAGAATAAAAAGCCTTAAAAGTTGAAAGGTTATTATGTAGTGATGCAAAAGGAAGGAGAAAGGGGAAGCATGGGACTAACTGTAGCCAAATTACAACTGCTAACCCCATGGAAATAAAAATTGTGCAGTGGAATTTATTTTTCTCTTTGCCTACTATATAAGTTTCTCAGTGCCAGTAATTACTGGACGTTACTGATTGTCCTATAAACGCGTGAATGACGGATTGTAACTGTTGGGTTTTTACCTTTCCCCCCCAAACACAAAACTGTATTTATCATTTGTCCGTGCCAGGTCCACCAGTGGCTTTAAAGCCGCTTCTAGAGCTCAGGTAAATTTGTAACACAACGCTAGCTGAAGAAGGAATAGGCTAATATGAGTGTTTTGTAACGTTCCTAGTTTGTAATGCCCGGCAGTCGCTGAGTGGATACGATCACAGAACACTGGTATTTCGACACTAGGTTCGAATCCTGGCTAATAAGCGAATCGCTTGGAAATTTCCTTGCATATTCATATGTATAACGAGAATATGAGTCCGTTTTCCCTTTGGTGATCGTCCACGAACTCATTCCTTCCTTTAGCCCAAGTATATTCTGCCGTAATCAAACAATTAAATCTAATCTATGTAGTGCAAATACAAGCCATTTTTCCGTAGAAAATACTCAACGAAGGCAACTTCATTTGATGTAACTTGGAATGCATGTAATCAACGGGATGCATTTTTTCAAAAACCGCAATTTTTATAAACTGTGCCGATGTGCAACTCTATTTACTGTGCTTTCTTCCTCGCCCCCCGGGGGGGGAGGTGGTCTAGAACATCACGTAGATACATATCTACTTTTATTAGTATTTTAAAAACGGCCTAGCTAAGTACTCCGTGTCGTGTTATGTACCAATATCTTGTATTTGTAATACGTATACAGACTTAGAAGGCATTTCAATACATTACAACTAAAAACTGTTTTATTTTAAGCACGAAATTGCATTAGTGGTTATTGTGACGTCTTTTGATTAATTAGTTAAGGTTATAAGGGTATTTCTCCCGTCTTCTTAGCTAGCCTTCGTGGTGCAGTGGTGTGCACGCTCAGCGCGTAATTGAGAGGTCCGTGGTTCGATTCCCGGCGAAAGCGTTGCACATTTTTCATCTTGCCTGCTTCCAAAAAATAACTAATGTCTCTACAGTGGCGCCCGAACTAAAAGGGTGTTGGATGAGGATTCTCCTCACCCAGGATTTGGCGATTGGGTGCCCTAAAAAACACCAGTCGCAATTTAAAAAAGGGAGTATATAAGGTATTTATCCCGCCTTCTTAGCGAGCCATCGTGGTGTAGTGGTGTGCACGCTCAGCGCGTAATTGAGAGGTCCGCGGTTCGATTCCTGGCGAAGGCGTTGCATATTTTTCATCTTGCCTGCTTCCAAAAAATACCTAATGTCTCTACAAGGTTCTTCAAGGTTTCAATTTCTTAAACATATTTAGTTTCTGCTAAGCAGGTCATGAATTTTGTCCCACCCTTCAATTAAACTGAAAATTGCTTTTGCTTGGAATTTCAGTAGATTTCCTGCATTAATATTCCTTTTTACAGTCGTCAGACCGCGAACATATTTAAATGATGTTCAATTTGTTCACCGTATGTCACTGAAAATTTTAAGATAGCAGTCCTCCAGTATTTTTTTAACTGCGGTTTTTAGTTTTGTATATTCCTTAAAGTGTGGATCATACTAAGGTCCCGTTCTGAAGAGTCATGCATATTAATGTACTGAAGGTTTGTTGTTATGGAAATAGTAGTATTGAGACATTGAATGCATATCTTTTTCTCCGAAAAATAGTTCTCATTTACATCCTCTCAAACCCAATTAAAGCGCCCGAATTTCCCTGTATTTTCTTCATTTTAATAAATTGCGGTCGAACATATGTTTGAGATGACAAACTAAGCAAAAGCAAAGGAAGAACTCTTGACTTAAGACTCCCTTCTCTCCGTGTCATCCGCTCAGCTGGTATTGCTCACTGCATCACAGATGAAAACGGATATCCCTTTGTGACATTTTCTTTTTATGATGGAGTCCGTTTTTGAGGTCTCCGCCATCATAAATTAGTTTATAAACTACGTCCTGCGCACTTTTTGTCTTTTCCGGCTCCAGTGATTCTAGGGAAGGAAAGTTTCATCCAATTCGGTCATTCCGGCGGGTTCTTATTAACCATGATTACAGAATAGGGTTAACCTATGCAAAGCTTTCATTTAACTTACAACATGTCCTTTAAGGGGAATTCAGGTTTATAGCAGTTGAATTTCTTCTAAATTATGACAAACTAAATCAGTGCCCATTCAATATACGTATTTTGTTGTATTAGGAACTTAACTCAGGGTTGGATTAAGATTTTTAGAGACCCTAAGCACTTAAAATATTTTGGTGCCCTCACATAAATTTATGCCTGTTTTTTGCCCCCCTCCCCGCTTCCATCCCATTCCTCATCACTTCGTCTACCTGCACCATATATTCCCTGATAAAATCGGCAACGGGGAATTTTCAAGGTGCCCCCTTTCCTAACTTCCTAAGGACCTTTTCGTAGTGCCTTTTTTTCTTGATGGCCTTTAAAGCATGTGCTTATTTTTCTTAATGGTTAATCCCGCTTTGAACTTACTTCTGAATTAAAAAAAAATAAATCTTGTAAATTAAATGTTTAGACGTTTAAGTAAAGAGTAAGCTTGTCTAGATGCCTCCTAAAAATGCTATTTTATATCTCATCATTATATAGACTTTTTTTAAATTCTCACAATACAGGATGAAAACTTCGAAGAATTCTTCGTTTTCCTGGAATGCGCATCAAGAAAATTTGTGATACCCTTTTGTTTGTAATAAAAAGAATGTACCTAAAAGATATATATATATATTAATAATTCGCCAACGCGTAATTTTGAACTAGCTTCGAAATCTTGCGCTTGATATTTTTTTCAGCTTTTGATTATATTAAAGATGGATATTCTCCAGAATAAATTAAATGTTCAGTTCTCACGCAGATAAAAATTAAATATTGAATATATTTAAATACAAATTTTCGAAAGCTGGTAACGGTTAAAAGCACCGGTGTAATGAGATTTATTAAAAATGTTCCCTGTCTCGCTTGTGAAGCCATTTTATTTGTTAATTATTTCTGAAGTCCATAGATTAGGACAAATTTATCACTTAGTTTCCAAGTAAAGTTATTAGTGATTGGTTAATTTTCAGATTTCTCAAGTTTATTTTGATTAGCGCTTTAAATTGGCTGATTTTAAAATTAACGGTTGTAGCACGTTAAATTCTAATGTCAATAAACATTTAACAAAATAGTAAATTTTTTCTAATTTTTCTTTCAGGAGTTACCTTTTCTGAAAGAGGAAGAACAATGTAAGTATTTTTGTTTTTATTTTATCTCCTATGCAATTTTGTTAGTACTTAATTCAACTCAGTTGTATCCATTTATTAAAAAATATGTTTGTTTAATTTTTTGGGAGAAAAAAAAAAGCGCACTACGTTTGGTAAAAATTAAGTCCTTCTTTGAAATCTGCTGCTTTTATTACATGAATTAATTTCAGATATAAACTTCTCAAAATGTTTAAAGACTCAACTGTTACAAATAATTTAAAGATTATCAACTCGAAAGCGATGCTTCAGAACTACTGATTTGGTTATTTTTTTAGCTTTTTACTGGCACTAAGAATTCCAAGCACTTCTTCCCATTCTTTGAAAACTTGACAGACTCTTCGCTTTTACCAACTAAATACTCCAAAACCAAATATAAAAATGTGAAGTTTTTCCGATAAGGAAATAAAAGAAAATTAAAACAAAAAGGACGCCCGAGTTTCAGCGAAACTAAATGAAAGTATTTTCCTGAACGTTCGGAGAAAAGAGATTCTCTCTTAACACGCCATCCCCCCATACCTCTAGGGTTTATGATGTCACAACCGAAACATTCTCGGCTTGGTGTAAATTTTTATTTATTTGTTGAAAACATTTTTCGAGTCTTATCTAGTATCATAGACTAAATATATGTTCATTCTAGCTGTTATTTAGAGATTTGCACTAACATTACACCTTCCCCATACTTGAGTATGTTTGTTTTAGGACTATTCCGAAATGCGTTGTTTGTTTAATTTCAGCGTTTCGTACAACACTGCATTTCGAAAATTATATTGACATTGGAACGTTGTTTAACGGGACGTGATATATTATCTCACTTGTCTTCTCGGGCATGCTTTGTTTTACTTCCACAACAGGAAATGCTGCCTTTTGAATTGGCTAGTTCATTCGACGTCAATGTAATTATGAATCTTTAACAATGCGACTTGCTTTCTGTATCTGTTGTTAATCATAAATATCTAAAAAAGCGTATTTCAGGCAGGGTCATATACAGACGGGCTACCAATTAAATGTTGTTACAAATAAATTCCTCTTAATTTCTTTTCCTTGTGACTTCCTAGAGAATGTAATATAGACGTTACATTAGCATAATTAATTCGCCATAAAAAGAGACTTGAATTACATATTTATTATGCCTCCAGTGCATCTTGGGAAACCATAGACCATAGATTCTGGTTAAGAGAAAGCAAATGTAAACATTTTAACATCATATCCAGCTGCTCACTACCTTTGTTTTACAAAATGCTACAATACATTTGTAGCATTTTGTCGAGTAATAACGGTAGATAATTGCCGAGGGTTCAAAGTGGTAAAACACTGGCATTTTTCCTTGCCTGAGAAAAGATGTGGACTTGTAAGCAATGCATGTTACATCCAGTACCACGCGATGAAATCATTTTCATTCTTATGTTTTAAGATTCCGTTAATCGTTTCAGACATATTTAGCCCCGGGCACTTTTTTTTTTCTGGTTCTGTATAGAAATTAGCCTTAATTTTGGATTCAGTGGTCACTTCATTATTATTATTCGCATTTCTTAAAACAGTGCCATTTTTTTTATCAGCTTCATTATTTTCTAAATTTTTTCAATAATAAACTATCTCAATTAGTCGAAGTGGTGTGTTCCTTCAAATATGAACGAGTAAGTTTACTTTAGAAGTTTAAATATATCTTCAAATAAAAAGGTCCATAGAGTAATAATATTCCTCCTTGTTTGAGAAATATCTATAAGAATTAAGTTCTGTCTAATAATTTAATGTCGAATACCGCGCTTGCAAACAAAGCAAATGTTAGCATTTTCCCTCCTTTTTTTCATAAAGCTTGGGTTTCAAATTTTATCAAGAAGTCAGCAGTTTTTAAAAATATGATTTTATTCTTTAAACAGAGCCGTAAATTTTATTTGCATGGAAGTTTTCTTGTCAATCTTTTTCATACAAATTACGGGGTAGATGTTCTTTAAATATATATAAGCCCTAATGTTCTTGTCAAAATTCAGATATGCGGGATGCTGAAAAAGATCCAATTCTCGCCGCGGAAGTTTCATTTCGAACTATAATGCAAATAATACAATATTTAAAATAAAACAATGCAAGTAAAAAAGTTTATCTTCCATTAACTCGCGCGTATGCTTTTAAGGTGTATTTTAGAGATAAAATTATGTTCTTCATTATTTCTTCTTTATTATTTTTCTTATTATTGGGAAGACTTCTTAGAACTGTACAATTCAGCTTTAAAATTTAAATCGTTATTGCTATAAATGCTCCCACTTTTGATTTAAAAAATAAGATCTAAACATCACATAGAATATAATTATAGATCTTGTAAAAGTCATTGCTTAACTAAAATTAGAAAGCGGCTAGAGTTGTGGAAAATCTAAACATCAAGAAATTCAAATTGCTTGCAAATAATGAAAGAAGCAAACCTATAATTATATTAATAAAAAATACTGCATTTTATTATAAGCAATCAATAGTTGTGCAGTATAATCAAACTAATCTAATAGAAATTAGCTCAAGGAATATCATTATCTTAACTCGTACTCTGCGATGTCAACAAAGAGTCTGGCAATTTAATCAAATTGATCTAAAAGAGAAATGAGTTAAGGAAGTGCTGTCATCTCAATTACTACTCAGAGATATCAGAATTATTATCTACTGATAATCAAATGGAATGAGCTTCAGAATTTCTGAGTAAAAGTTGCTTAGTCCTAAATAAGATCAAGTTGGGATTAACGGTTCTCTCAATTAGCAATCAAGCCAGTCATCTACAGTACGGCTAGACTCATTTAAACCGTTTGCGATGAATTCTCTTTTCTGTAATGAAACTCAGTCTTCTTCGGAAGCGATGATGTTGCTCTGAAAAGAGAAACGACAGTTGCCGAATGAAAATTTAGCTGTAGTTTAAATGACAACATTTCTTGGCTTCACTTCCTGCTATGAATATTTTTGTTTTCGACAGTAAAGAGCTGTACTTTTGAATCTTAAATTCTTTATTTTTGTAACCGCATTCGTTTTCTAAAGTTCTATCCCCTTTCCTAATGTGTATTATTCCGGCATTCAACTGAAGTCGCAGAATTTATGTTAATTAACACGTTTCTTATGGTTTGGATCTATACTGTCACTTCTCCTTTTCGTTAGCTCTTGCCAGGGTGCATATAAGTTAAAGATATTTAAGTCGGAGTTGTTGAAGTATCAAATAGTTAGCTTTTGGCGGCGACGCTCGCCATTGTACTCTTCTCTTACGCAGCTGTGCTACGCTAATTATCCGGCATTAATCATTTTAGCTAGCCGAAGTTAAATCGCGCACATAAAATTTGAGCCAGCCTTTAGTTATTCCCTTTGGTTTGTAGTCTTCTGCAGTTAATCCATTTAAATTTTAATGTTTAACTTTCTGTTAGCTGATATCCCGCAAGTGGCAGAGAGTTAATTTTATAAGCACAGGTCGTGCATTTGTTCAGTTTAAAGCATTTAAATAAAATGTTATTTCAACTTTCTAAGGACTATGTTATACCTTCACAAACGGAGCGATAACTCGCTTGTCTCTCTAAGTAGGGTTTAGGGACTTTTAAGATAATTTGCAAAGAAAGTATCCTACTAAGTATAATATAACCTTTATTTAGTTGATAATAATAGTCTTTCGAATTTTCATTTTCTTTACGTTTTTGCATTTCCAGCTCAACTTAATATCAGTTCAAGATTCACATTTTTCCTATTTAATTTTGAGTATTTTTATTTGAACTGTCATCCTTTATCAGCTACTGAAGTAGAAAGTACATTATCATTCTAACTTGAATCAGCTCTTAATCTCATTTATTACACCTTTAATTTGTTGGAAATTTATTTTTAATAAAATATATAAACAAAGGGGTATTTTCCCCTTTGCTTTCTTGTAGGGTCGTCTGTGATTTTTGGTTTCACCGATATATGAACAACGTACAAGGGTGAAAACTAAATGGAAACGTTATATAGTTTCCCACGGCCGGATGTTAAAACCCATCTTTGAATATATTTTGAAGTTCACCTTCGTTGCTATATTGTGAAGAGATTGTACACATTACATTGATTGCTAGTATCAAGGCGCCGCCTAGCAAGTATAGTGTCTGTGCGGCAACGAGCTCTCAAAATATAATGCTAGCAAAAGTTCTCTAAAGAGACTGGTGGTAGAATAAAAGGGGTTGTGAGACCTTCGGATCGATTTTAAGGTGTTCTTCCTCAAAACTGGGGTGGAACTGTATATTTAGTACTGCAAGACTATGCCTAGACTATACAACCTAGACTATGCAAGACTATACAACCAGTAGTGAATTTCTACTGCTCCGCTCACTTCTACCTGTTCTTATACCTGCAAGTATGAATGCCATCATGTATGAAATGGCTATATTGTTGTCTTTAATTTCACCCGAGAAAACGTTATTTTTTATCTGATTTTGATAGGTGGCCCGTTTTGACTAACGTACTGTAGCGTAAGAGTGTACTGCTAAATAATTTTAATGTAAAAGGGCATTAATCGATATGCCTAGTTGCCAACTTCCCGGTTCCTAATTTTTGGAAGATGTTGCTTTTAAGAAATGTTAATTTCTAGGAAAATGTTTCTCAGTAATAAATGAAATTCATTGAATTAATGAAAATTAAATTGTATAATTTTCAATTCTCCATCCTTAGTGATTTTCGGCATATTTTTTCGTATTAAATTTTATTTGATCTGAAATGTTGTAATTTTTTGTAAAACTTTTTATGGTGATTCAATCAGTTAATATTTATATCTAATTTTGTTTTAGATCAACATGTAGTACATTACTAAATTTATCACACAATAGTATGTACATTAATTATTAATTTCATTTTTATCGTATTTAAAATTATTTTGATTAGTAATAGCTTACATTCACTACTTGGGATCCAAAGTGCACGAAAATTATGATAAAATGAGATCAGCCAAATAACATCAACTTTGTAATAACTAATTAAATATTAATCCGCTTTACAACACAATCATATTATAAATAGTTCAATAACCTAAATCATGCATTATAAAATTAATTGAAGTCAGTTTGGATTTCTTCTGAAATAGCATAACAGCGCAGTGCGAAAACCTCACGGAAACTCCGGTTTTCATGCGAAGATTAGCAGATATGGATATGGAATAGGAGAAATATTTAGAACTGGGATAAACCAATTCTTACTGGTAGTGGTTCCTCAAACTAGAGTTTGATAAAGATTGAATATGCTTTGATTGCGAATTATTCTAATTTTCTCCTATGTTCCGCTAACTTTTCTAACAAGCTGTTTTATGGATGATGAATTTTTTTTTTTCCCTCTTCGCCGACTGGTCAATCCGCTTGGGAAAGGTTGAACGGCAAAACTAAAAAACTGTACTCTGCTAATTAGCATCTGAATTACAGTTGACTTCTCGTTATCTCCACTGATGAATGATGATATCTCACCGTAGTAGCTCCAGTAGAGCTGTAATTTGTTAAATATATGCTTCCTTAAATATCATTATCGGAGTTCAGAGAATTAATAATTCAATATTTATGGCCAGTTTAGAACACATTTGATCTTCAGATCTCAACTTTGGTAACCTTTCCACGTTGATTTTATTTTTATGCAAATTTTCTCAAGGGTGTATGTCATAAAGATTCCTTCAATGTAGGTTACAAAGTTATAGCTAACCATTGTTATTTAGGATCTCCCTGACTGGAATCTTTTATTTCCTCAGTCTGTACTGAATTGGCGATCGTCTATAAGGCATAAATATGTTTAACGCTGATTCGAAATTTAAACAGAGGTTCTCCGCCAAGTTCATCTTTTCGGTTATGTTATTAAATAAGGGTTATGTTATTAAATAAGGGAGGGAGGATCTTAACAAGTCACTGCTTTCTATCTGCTAACTTTCTAGAGCTTCTAAATTGTAACTATTTTATAGTGCTTGTGACGATCGTTGTTAAAATGTGAAAGAAACCATACATGCATACGCATAGTCCAGATGGGGTCAAAACGTTAAATTCAATTACTATTACAAAGACTGACAATTATATAATGTTAACTGAAAATAAAATGTCAAATAATTGTGCCTTAAATGCACTTCATTTCACCAGTGTGTTATTATCACAGGAACTTTTCGAAAAGTGCAGATTCTGTGTGGGTTATCTAGCACTTATATTTTTGAGAATTTGCAGGAAGCTTAACAGCAATTTTAATTCCAAAATATGCAGGGGCAGATTCTTCAGTTTATTTAGTAATTAAATAAATTATGACACGTGTGTACTAGTGATATTGTTCATTTGGCGTATAAACCCACCAGTGGTGGAGTTGATAAGACCATAGAATACAAATAATTCGGTCCGGTTTCGAATCCCGGCTAAGCTGCATGAGCGTTTTCGTGGTTTTTCCTATGTGTAGCATAAATGCAAGCTAGTTCTCGTAAAAGGTTATCCACGAAGTCATCCTTCCCTTTAATTGATTTAGTTCCTGGTATGATTTAGCATAATCAAACAACCTAATCTATTGAATCAGCTTCGAAGCATCAATTATGTTAAAATTTTATTGAGTTTTGTGATTTAGGTATTGAACGCAGGACTGTGCCATATTGAAGGGTAATCTTCACTGCTTCTTCGTTATTCTATACTCTGAGATTTTTTTGGCTGATATTTAGTTGCATATTTCTTTGTTTCAGATAATCTTATTGAACCAGTGCCACAAATTTCTGATGATCCACAGCCAAAGGAGATCAGCCCGCGCCAAACTGCACCGTCGCCGTAAGTTCGAACATTTATACGTTTATTTACTTATATAACAAAAACTTACGATTTTCGAGCGTAAGAAAGATATATTTCTTGATAAAATCCTACAAAGAATATCCTTCTGAAATCTATATCCTGTTTAAAGTATTTACGTACAAAAATATATAAAATATAAGGTCTTTAATTGCTTAATTATTTTTTCTCTTTTCTTTCAATAATGAAAGAAGATGTGCTTGAAATCTACATTAATAGACATAAAATAGAAATCTTCTAAGCTAATATTAAATATATGAGAATAATAAATAAAATGTTGAAATAATTCTACTACTTATAGTAGCTAATTGTCCTCTATTGTGTGTTGTATCTCTTTCTCTCTTTTTTCTAACAACATACGTTTACATGCATATATAGCATAAAACTAAATAAGCTTGCAATTTTATTGGCAGGTATTTAAGCTTCTTACTTTTCAAATTTCTTCTATAGACCTGGAATTAAGGTTTTTGAAATGTTTTTCCTCGTCAGGTTTTGGTCTCCTTCTCTTCAAGCTGTGTTACGCGAATTGCGAATCCAAGAATGACTTTTATCGAGAGTGATTTGTTTTTTGTAGCATAATGGTTAATTCACTTTACTGCTGTCTTTTTAATTAAAAAGAAATATCGCATAACCAATAAAAAATATGCCTGTTTCTTAACCTGTCTTGCCTTTCCATTTTTCAAAATTTGTTTTTGAGCTGTGTTTATTTCAGTTTCAGTAAAATGGCGGCGAAGATAATTTGAAATAAAGATATGTAATTTGATGTTTTATAGAAATCATATTAATATTCTACATAAAAGCAATTAGAGGAAGGCTCTAAGAAACTCCATCGGTATGGGGTGTTTCGTTCTATAAAAAAAAATGGTACCACCTTTCTAGTACTTCAGAATTGAAGGCAAAACTTTTAAAAGCGTCAGGCAAATGTTTTGGCACTCTGTTCTCCGATAATAAGCTTTCAAAAGTTGATTTCACAACAGAAGCAATTCTAAATAAATATATTTTCTTGATAAGGATATTTATTAGGTTTTTCCTCCAAACTTGCTCGTCAATCCTTTATAGAGATAAGATTAAATTAACTGATGCGCTTTCGGGTAAAAAGGAAAGAGAAAAAAAAAATATATATATATATATATTGCGAAATGTTTTTTAAATGACGTAGCAATTTATTTTTAAGGTTATTTTCTTTGCAGAGACAAGCAGAGTTTAGTGTAATCAGAATGTTGAATTCTAAGGGAAAACTGCACACTAATGTGTTTCCATTCCAGTACGTGTTAAATTAAATAATAAATTCTAAGGATGAAGTATTTTTTCGAATATAGTTGATCGAAATATTTTCACTACTTTTCAGAAATAAATCAGGTTGCTTCTCTGAAAAGTGATTATCTAGATTTAAGCTCTGTTAGCAGTTTCTTTTATAACATGTTAACTTAAGCATAATTTTTCATATGTGAATGAACAAAACTATCTTTAGTCGGATTAGCTTTATTATACATTAAGAGAATAACAGGTGAGCAATATTTTAAAGTTTCAATGATGCTTTCTGCGAAACCATGCCATAGATTGTTACTTTCGTTGGTTCCCGTAATTACTTCCTGATGCCCGTTAAATCTGTTACAAATAGTTTAATTCTTTTATACAAAGTACGCATGAAACAGAGATGTTAATTCTCTAGAATGACTACTAGATGCTATTAATTTGCCCTTTGTTTGATCGCTGGTGACTGAATAGGTTGGCTACATGGGATTGTAGATTTTCCCACGTGTAGTTTGCACATGATCCAATTTTCTTATAAAGGCATAACATGAGTATGGAGAGTACGATATAACGTTATCCAGAACATAAAATGTGTGTATGCTCCCATGTCAGAATTTTCAAACTGGAACAAAATTCTGCCCTTTTCATTTGAAATTAATGCCAAGCTAAAACTATTGCCTTAATGCTAATTTTTTCTCATTAGCATGTGTACCCTTATATATAAAGATTCCAAGATACGAGTATTCTAATATTTTTCATCTTTCTCCATATTTGTAAGTTAAAATGTTACTGAATAACACAAACAAAATAGCGCTAACTGAATCCGAAGATAGAAAGTAATATCTGGCTGCTTTTATGAAGTCACTAACACTTTTTCATTTGATGTGTATTTTGAGCAAATTTTTTGTCTGTAAACTTTGGTTAAATTTATTTATTTATTACTTTTTTTTAATTAAAAGACCCTCAGATTTGAAATACCCATCAGGTGACATTGTACCATGATATCCTGAATTACGTATGTACCTCATGTTTTGGGTCTTCTATAGATAAAGTGCTGCCCAGCGAGCAAAATTGTTATTAAAATATTTGCATAATAAAATTCCCAAGGTCGTTAAGTGGTCGTTAAGTGTATGCACTTCTATGTTCATTTCTTAACTATACATTGGAAACTCGATAAAATATTATTATTTAAAAGTTTATTTTTGGCTCACTTACATGTATTTAAAATTCGTGTCAACTGTTTGTGTGCTTATTACTGATACTTTACGATAGTTTGTTTTTGTTTGTGTAACGCAAGTAAGTCTTTCTTGAAATATAAAGTTAATCATGACTTCATTTATTTGTGAATGTCTGAGGTTGGTCTTGAATATCCATAACTGGCACATACTTTTGGTAAGTAGTACTCCTTTTCAGGTGGTGTGTGCCGAAGAAGTTAGAGCCTATAATTATAAATCAGGAGCCTCCTAAGGTGGAGAACCCCATAGTTGAGAAAGAAGCTGTTGCCCCTCCTCCTCCACCAGCTCCTATTGCTGCCGTTGATGATTCTTCGATGTAAGTAATCTAGTGCATTTTTGGACAAAGTAAACTGTGTAATTTAGCAGTAGAATGCCAAAGTATTACATTGTAACTTTCTACCTTTTATGTAGTCTTATTTTTGTTTTCTGATTTGAATGAAATTACACTACCCTACATTGAAAATGCAACACCAAGAAGGAGTGGCCAGAAAGTGATGAAACTCGCCAAAAAGATAGAGACAGCAACGAACATTAACTGTTCTTTATTTCGAAATGATATGCTTCATACCGAGCGAAAGCAGAGTAGACTAAGTAGGTTGTAGGATCACATTCGACGGCGATGCGCGAAGCAACACGTCTAAGTACAGAGTCAATGAGACTACGGATGGTGTCCTGAGGAAAAGGATCTCCATACCTTGTCAACCATTTGGCCCGGTTCGTCTTCTGAACGCGGCAATGGCAGAGTCTGTAAAAGGCGTCCAATCATATGCCAAATGTGTTCAATTGGTGAGATATTAGGAGACAACGGAAGCCAGTGAAACATCTGTACACCTTTATAGGGCACGTTGTCTGATGCGAGCAGTGTGTGGTTGGACGTTATCCTGCTGATAAAGGGCACTGGATACTCCTTGAATATAGGAGAGTGTCACCTGCCGCAGCACATCATATACGTATCGTTAGACCATGATAGTGTTCTGAATACGAACTAAAGGTGACCTGAAGTTGTACGCAATTGCGCCCTACGCGATGATGCCACGTTATCGCGCGGTGGGGCGTTTCACAGTTGCTGCTGTATTGAACCTGTCTCCACATCGGCGCCAGGCTCGTACGCGGCTAATATGATTGGAGAAACAGAAGCGTGACTCTTGTTCAATTAGGCTTCAAAATCTTCCCTTATTAGATGAACCCCTCTTTTGATGTAATTATTCTATCTCTGATGATGTGGAGTTAAAGGCCTAGCCTAGCGCACTCCGTAAATTAACTTCCTTGATCCTTGATTCTGAGAACACGTCCCTCTGCTAGTCCTTCGTCCACATCGCTCGAGGCCAGCACCATTGCAGAAGGTGGAGGTCTATGATGTGGGGTCAATAGCAGTCTTCTTAACGGACGCCACGAGTGCAGGCCACTAACCACCAAATGACGGCAAATGGTTTTGGTCGATATGGGAACATCCAGGGTGTCTTGAGCATGCTGCAGAATGGACGTAGAAGTGGCTTGCGGGTGCGTCACCGCTTGTCAGCGGATGCATCAATTCACGCGCGCTGACGTAACTCTGACTGCACCAGTGCCCTTAGAACTTGCCACATTTCCTTGTTCCAACCATCGTCGCCACAGCCAGTGCTCTGTGGACGCATCCAGGTGTGTGTCAGCTAAGATTTTCCGTATGGACCAAACTGTCCTTCTCAGTAGGATCACAATGCCCCTCGTAAAATCGTCTGTCTGCTGGAACTGCCTCCGTTGACGACGGCCTTGCAATGTCTGCTATTACAGGCGTCTTTAGAAACAAGAACAAATTATCTAGGATGATTTTCCTCGTAGAAATAGCAGCACGAAAATTGAACATTTTTGCATGTTCCTTCCCTTATATCTTCTTCAACCAGCGCTGGAGAGCTACGCATTTCACATCATTCGTATAACTAGGTGACGTAAGTCTACCCTGAAATTTGCATAATTTTCGGGCCATCCTTCTTTGTGTTGCACAATGTCGGGTAGAGTATATGCTGAAGAATGTTGTTCATTCGTTGTCATTCCAATCAGTATGCTATGTATGCTGTTTCAAGTCAAATTTTATTTTTATCGAAAAGTCAGGCTTACAATGCAGAAATGTACTTTCATTAAAACTTTCAGTAGGCTGTTAAAAGTATATTTATATTCCTCCAAAAATTATCTATTTTGTATAGATTACATTTTTCCATACACCTCATAATTCATGTACAATTTTACCTGTGGATCAGCATGAATTTAATTACATGTAGAATTTTGCACTATAGTAATTCCAGTTTCGAATGCTTGCATATGTGAGAAATTGAAATACAAAAGTAATTTCTTTATCTTGAATTTTACTGAAAACCTGCTATTTATAACTGATATATAAATATCATGAATGTAGAGCAGCTCATTTTCAATCCTAAAAATGTCTAGTTTGTTTTTACACAGTTAAAACTGCTGTAATAGTTTTGATGCTTGATATTGCATTGTAGCCGTATGAGAATAATTTTAAATGAAAATTTGTTACTTCTCTTCATTTTGTGTAATTTTAAGCGTTTGAATCTTGCTAAAGACCAACTGATGTTGACTTTTACTAAAATCTTCCGATAGAGACAAAACTTTCAAGAATAAATCAATCGCGAGGGATTTGAAAAGCTTTTTTTGAAATAATTATTGCAGATTATGTATTATTTTCTCACTACGCACTTGGAAACGGAGAATGGAAAAGTGTGTTTCTACGAAATAGTTGACATTACATAACTGCTAATAAATCATACTGATACATCTAAAGATGATATCTTAAAATTTAAAATAATTGCTGCCTAATTAGCAGCATTGTTTGAATTAAAGGATAAAGCATGCATAAATTTAAAAACACGCTTTGAAAGAATAGTTAGTTAAATGCAGCTAATGTTTTATTCAAATTTTCAGGAAAAGAATGAGGAGAATTTTTCATCATCTGAAATAGCCTCTATATGCATTTTCATTTGACCTTAATCTGCTTCAGGACAAAATCTTTATCTTAATCCCCCCATTGCACTTTAGAACATTGGTAATTAAAATTTCATATATAGGTGTGCACTTTAATTCTCATCTTAATGCACAAAATTGGTTATTTTCATTGTAGAATTTATGATTTTTGAGCTTTGTATGTAAAGCATAAGCAGACTTTGTTTTAATGAATACATCGACAGAAAGTAGACTTAAAAAAAGTGTGTGCTTTAGCATTCTACTATAAGAAGACTATATTTTAGTAAACATTTAATAATTATATATAACATAACCTGAAAATTACTGAAATGCTCATCTCAAATTCTTGGAGAAATGATTTCTATGTCTGCTTAAATTTCGGTAAGTAACTTTGCCTTGTAAAATATTTGCATGAAATAAATTGCATCAGTCATTAAAAATGGATGCCACTATTTCTAAACTGAATAACAAACAATAGAACTCAAGGTGTTTATTTATTACTCAGAAGTTGTGTTGCAAGTAAAGGTAGGTTTCAAAAGACTGACGAGACTGTAAATTCTTTCTTTTATTCTCAAAGGATAATAAAAGTGTGAATTCCATTTATTTTTTTTTCTTCTTCTTTGTGCAAATAGCTGAATGAGATTAATTTATAACCAGTTTTAAGTTGTTTTACCAATTTATGTACTTGATTTCATATTTGTTTAGTTTCTGTCTCAATGATCTAAATGATTGTGAAGTCTTATTCTTAAAATCCAATAACCAAGTAAATTTAGTAGCCCTATATGTTAGTCTTATAGGATATTTGTAAGGCTTAATGTTTAAAGTATTAATAAAATGATTCGGTATTAATTTTTCTCCGCATTCCTCAAAGTAATTTTCTCAAGTTAAGTAAAATTTTAATTGGAATTTTACTAGTAAGCATTAAATACGCTGCATGTGCATTATAGCTTCTTAAATTATACTTTCATTTTAAACATACAGGTAGTATTTGAAAAATGTGGGAAAATATAAAAGATGCTCACTGTTAGATTAAAGATTAATTCAATTTATATTTTATAGATTATGCACCATTAAGGTCTAACTCATGTATGCATATAAATTTACAAAATGATTTTTAAATGTTCTCTCTATATCTGATGATGATTGAAATCGCTTAAAACTGATTGTACGTTTTCTTTAAATCGCGTTTTCTTGGTGCATTTGATATTTCCTAGTCTAGTAATTTTGTTTGCATGTGATGTGAATAGTTCGCTTAGAAATTATAAATTAAACTTATGAGTTTTCTCTACTTTTTGGTTTCTATATCGCTAATTTTAAATAAATAGCAAGAGTAAAACGAACGAAAAAGCCATGAGAAGGACGTTTGGAAGCTTTAAAACTTTTATTTTAGAGAGACTTTGTTCCTGTTACTATCTGAAGTGGCAAATGAAAAGTCTGAATATGGAAGAGAAGATCTGGTGTATTGAAGAAGTGGTTTATCATTTGCATTCAGTTGGTAAACAAAGACCTAATATTTGTCAGTGATGAACTTGCAACATTTACGCATGATATTGAGAAACCATGAGCTTTATGAAGCAGAATACCTTTACGTATTCAGGCAATAGTACAGGCATTTATCCTTTGTAGAATTTATAGTTAATAGTAAAAAAAAAGGGGGGGCGTTCCTGAGACAACATATAATTACATACAAAAATACAAACATAAATCAATACAAAAATGTTCCATATCAAAATAATAAATAAACAACAAACAAAAGTGTGTTATGATATTTAGGCTTGTTCGAGTTTATCATGGAGGACCAACAAATCTTATTTGGGAGTATTCTAAATCTGCTTGATATTATTGTATTCATAAAGAATGACAAAAGCATGTACACGAAATGCGTAATAAATTTGTTTTCACTTTCGGAGCCTTATATTTTAAAATACATATAATAATATGCCTTAAATACATATACCTTATATATATATTCAAAGAATGGATTTTCGATGCTTCATTTTGCACTTTAAGATAGGTACAAGATTCCCAGTATAATTTTTGCTGTAAATTACGGGATTATTAACGCTGATTAATTAAAAAAATAAATTTTTGTAACATTGATATGTAGTTCTCTTATTTTACTGGCAAATTAAAAGTCTATAGTATCTATTCGATTTTCGTGCAAATCACGTAAATTTAAGCTTTACAGAAATTCGATTTTGTGAACAAATTTTACAGCTTAATTTTATTCGTTTAATAAATTTCTTTACATTTGTCTTGGTTTTTGCACGTCGCCGGATTATGATAAAAATATGATTAATTTTTTCTCCTCTGCTTTTAATCAGATAGTTTTCATCCAGTTTTCAAACGTGAGTAGAA